AAATAGCAGAAAGAACAGTGCTGGAGGAATATCAATACCAAATTTCAACCTCTACTACAAAGCCATAGTAATCAAAACAGGTTGGTACTGGCATAAGAATAGATCAGAGGACCAAGGGAGTAGAACTGAAAACCCAGAAATGAACCCACAGACCTATAGCCACCTAATCTTCAATAAGGGACCTAAAAAGTAGAAGGACATAGCCTCTTCAGTAAATGGCAAAATTGGTTAAACACCTGTAGAAAACTAAAGCTAGATCCTTATATATCACCCTGTACCAGAATCAACTCCAGATGGATCAAAGGCCTCCAAGTCAAAGCAGACATCCTGAAAATGTTATAGGAAGGAATAAGAGAAACTCCTATTTTGGCACAGCCAAAATTTTCTTAATAGAGACCCAGAAACGCAACAAATCAAATGGGATTATATGAAACTGCAGAGCTTCTGCATGGCAAAGGACATAGTTAGCAAGATCAATAGAAAGCCCACAAATTGGGAGAACATCTTCACTACCCATACAACAGACAAAGGCCTTATCTCTAAAATATTCTTAGAACTCAAAAAACTAAATCCCCCAACAACAAATCCTCAAAGAAACAACTGCCTGATAAATAAGTGGGCTAAAGACTTAAAGAGAAACTTCTCTGAAGAGGAAATAAGAATGGCCAATAGACATATGCAAAAATGCTCAACTTCTTTAGCCATAAACGAAATGCAAATCAAAACAACATTGAGATACCACTCACGTCAGTTAGAAAGGCTATAATCAAGAACTCTAATAACAACAGATGCTGCAGGGGATGTGGCCAAAAGGGAACCCTACTGCATTGCTAGTGGGAGTGTAAACTTGTTCAACCACTTTGGATAGTAGTATGGAGGTTCTTCAAAAGACTCTATATAGAGCTCCCCTATGACCCAGCAATCTCACTGTTGGACATTTACCCAAACGACCACAGTCAAGGTCATACTAAAGCTACCAGCACAACTATGTTTATTGCAGCATTATTTACCATAGCTAAGATATGGAACCAACCCAGATGCCCTTCAGTAGATGAATGGATAAAAAAAAATGTGATACATGTGTGTGTGTGTGTGTGTGTATGTGTACATCTTGTATATACATTTTTCTAATTTGGGGAGGGGAAGGGAAAAAACAAAATGCTTAAATAGGGATACAGGTTGACACATTGTAACAATGAGATGTACAAGACAGTATGTTGAAAATGAACTTTACAACTTGGGGGGGGAAATGGGGGGAGGGAGGAAGTGGGCAGGTAGAGATGGAAGGGATGGTAGGGGAAAAACAAAGGAGGGGGTAACAATGCTTGATAGGAAGTGTACTCATTACCTTTCTCATGTAATTGTAACCCCTCTGTACAGTATCTTTACAATAAAAAATTTATATTTAAAAAATTATGATAGATTTTTTTTAAAAGTCAGTTTTTAAAGAGAATCACAATATTATGTGAGGAGATGATTAACTATTAGCTGTGGAATTTATTACATATCTTTTTTTTAAGCTATGTGGCTTTCTCACCTCCTTCCCTGTCTCTTCATTTTTTATAATAAATCTCACAGAAAATATTTTCCTTACATTTGAGGCCTTGTACTAGAGATATAATATAGCCAAAAATTAAAATTTTTTTCAAAGGTAAAAATGTCAAAATTTATATCTTAGAAATATATATATATATATAT